GGGGGGGAAAGGCTTTGATAATTGATCCTACTTAATTGTGGGCCTCTAAATTTAATGCCTTACATCCTAACATTTTGAAATGAAAAAGCGGTTAAAACTTAATTTATATATAATATATGTATATGTTTTTTTTAATTTTTTAAACACTATTTTTTTCATTTAAAAATTTTGCAAAAAAGAAATAAAAATTAAAACTTAAAAACACTATAAAATTTATTGCATATTACTATTTTTTACGACGTATTTCCATTTCAAAATTTTATGATGTAAGATTGTTTCTAAATGAGCCCTCAGCGGCCCCAGGGAAGCTTCAAATACCGATATCTAAAAAAAAACCGGAGCCAATCTGACAAAACGAAGGACGCCGCTAAATTTAGAGTTCTAATAGAGGAGTATTGTTATAACGGCAACTTCGTCAACATTTGGTAAGATTTCTGGGGCTGTTTTATGCGGGTTGAACAAACGAACAAAAAAAAACTCAGAAAGCAGAGCAAACTAAAGCATTGTGTGAACAAAATTAGGAGTCTCACCTTCTACAAATACTACTTGCATTGCCGGTGCGTACTGTAACTAAACCAACTACATACACACACATATTCAAACATGGAGTATTTTGCGTTTATAGTTGAATTTGGCTCAGACTACTTGCAAGGGGATGCTACATGGACGCGACGAAAATGTTGTACTTGTTGTAAATTAAAGAGCAGAACATTTTTATCGTCTGCTAATAAAATTAATGGATTTATTCAATTCGTCGCTGTATACCAACCGCCAAACGCCCCAAATGTGCAGCTGGAAAGAAGCTGATGGTGTTGGTTGGTAAATAAATGTTGGCTCTGTTGATTCTAGTTATGCTGGTCGACGTGACATTAAACTGACAGTTTACACGCTCCACAGCACAAGCGCAGGCAAAGGCAGCGACTGCAAACGCTTCGAGTCGTGGAAGATGTTCCCCAATGGTATCTAGTGTGAGAAAAGCAAGACACTATTTGGAGGCTAAGAAAATGTATACGCATGTTTTTCTATGCACATTTTCACATATCTGCGCCAGTCAGTTAAAGTAACTTAAGTCGAGATACATCATTTTCCCTTTAAAGCAATATTTCATTGGGTTTCCAAACAATATTTTCACAATTGACTAGCCGCAGGTGTAGTTTAAGTTGGCTTTTCATAGAAGCTCAATAAAAATATAAAACTTTTAAAGGGAAACGTATAATTTTTTTAACTCAGAGTCAAACCTTCTA